ACTTATATTAAAAAATTTTGGGTAAAAAATAATAAATAAATTTAGGCGTTCTGTTATCATATGGGTCATGATATTAAATACAAATATGTATTTTGAACCTTTCCACAAAGTCTTTAAGTACAGTTACTTAAAAGGTAAGCAAAAGAATTGATAATTGTTTATTTGCTTTATTAAAGTTTAACGGAAACAAAGTGTATAAAAGAATAATAAAATTAACTAAAGGAAAGATCAGCTACAAGTTAAAAATTGTACATTCTAGGCACGTTGCAAGTTTTCAACTTGGTGAAAGTTTTACATTTGGCAATAAAGGAGCAAGGTCAGCTGTCACAAATCAATGCCTCGCAAAATGTTAAGAATGTAAAATATGTACTCATTTATATTGCTGTAACTGCATGGATTTTTTAAATTAAAACGTCGCGTGTCAACGTATTGATTTAGTGAATCGCCTAAGCAATGTTGGTGTATCTACAAAGAAGAAACCTCTAGATAGTGAAAATTAAAGGTATTTAAAGACTTTATTTGTTTCAAACATCAATATAATAAATATTTATATATGACTTTTTCTTTAAATCTCAAAAAAGCTTTCAAAGTAAATTAAACAAAGTAAAACTTAGCAATAAACATATTTAAAATGGATAATGAATTTGGAAACATCTCTTTAATAGAAAAAAAAAGTTCATCAAAGAAAAAAGTAAAGACGGAAAGGTAAGCGATCAAGGATGTTATTGAAAATAGTCAAGGTACCTCGTTTATTGGAAGCTGACAACCTTTCGAAAACAATAAAAAATTTGTGATAAATACGGATGCCCACCTGTGCATCTCAAGTTGCCTTTACTTGGGGCAAATCAATGCACAAAGGTTGCGACGTAGGATTACATTTCCACACTATTATGTTATTGCCATATGTTCGGAAGTTTGACGAATTTAAACACAATACCAAAGCTGTTATCAGAGGACATTTTACAAACAGGTAAAAGAATCTGCGTTAGATGTCATATTGGAAATGCTTTTTTTAATAACACAACAAATATTGGAGGATCAAATCACCATTTTACCAATTGTATTAAATACATTGTACTGCAGACCGCAGCGTTAAATCTAAACAGTGCAAGCTAGTTAATCAACGATTGAGTGGTGATCAATAGTGATCGCCACTCAATCGCCAATCAATTACCAATAAGACATTACTCGTTTATACGTAAAACTTAATTTTTTTGATGTGCTTATCAGACACTACTAAAAACGCATTAAATAACCACTTACATAAAATCTAGAATTTAAGTAAGTGGTAATTAAATGCTTTTTTTGTAGTGACTGTTTCGTGTTGTCATAACATGAAGTTTATACTAACTCGTTTTAATCAAATATGGCAGATAACAAGCGCGAACAGTATATAAAAAATTACATAAGAGATTATAAAGGGTAAGGTAAAATTAATTAGAGAAGAAGAAGGTTTAGAAGACAAAGAAGAATATAATGAAAACGTTGACAAAGCAGAAAATATGGCTTCTCAATCTGTAAAGACTCTAAACTTACTCCATAAAGGAGCAGTTGAAAATGATATAAGGTCTAAACCTTTGAATGAGCTTTTGAGACATTTAAATACTTTCATAAAAGACATTCCTAAAAGTGGAAAATCATTAAAACATACTTAAGGAAGTATTTATGTTAAAAAGTTGCTGGAGGTGATTTTGTTTAGATGACTTTAAAAAGTTCACTGTAAAATGCTTCAGAAAGCCAACAGAGTATCAACTTATTGTTTATATTGATGGCACTCGAATATCCAAAAGTAAAAAAAAATTGTGTACTGTAAACCAAAAAGGTCCGCATACAGTTGCTTTATGGTATGGCATAAGATAATCTACAATTTTTAGAGAATATCTTAAAAAGGTTGTTGCGGAAATAATATTCTTTTTTATTAATGGGTACTAGGGTTTAAAGGTGATGTTTAAAGCATTTGTATGCAATGCACGAGCAAAAGCATATTAAAAATGTATAAAAAGATACAGTGGATATGACAGCTGTGAAAAATGCCAAGAACATGGTGAATATCATAAAGGCATAAGAGTATTAAGCACTAAATCTTTATTACGAGATGATAAAAATTTAAACAAAATTTTTATTTAAAGCACTAGATTGGCAAATTACCATTATCTGAAATTAAAATTCCAATGGTGACTAGATTTATTCTTGACTACATGCATTTATTTTGTCTAGGCATTACGAAAAAGCTTATGAAGAATTATGTTAACAATATAGATTCTTTGGTACACATCATCATTTCATCAGAACTGCTTCAAATGCGAAAATGCACATTATCAAACTTTCAAGGTTGGCCAAGAACTTTGGATGAATTTTAGGTTTTAAAGCAACTGAATTTATATGCAAGATTTGTACTTATGAAAAGCAAAATATCGCATGATGAATATAAACTGAGTTAAATACGAATTTAATATTTATGTAGCATATTCAGTCTGGGCCATATAGCCTTCTAATCGTTTATTATTGCAGTTCAACAGGAAACCATAATCATTTAAGTCTTAAAATCCATTTTATGAGCCAAAAAATCCTTAAATAGTTTTTTGACTATACAACCACATTTTGCTTTCAAAAATGGCTCTTAAGGGTTTTCAGTTACGTTCATAGTTTTTAACGTGACATAATTTCATATTTGTAAACCAAGCTGGTTAGATCTGCTCAACATTGACCAATAAATAAAATGTAAATCAAAAATTGACATAAATAAGAATTTTTTCTTTCTTTCCTCAAAAGTGTTACAAATGCAGACTAAGCTAATTAATTAGCTTAACACGTTAATAAAACTTAAGTAACTCGGTATTTGACAAATTTGCAAAACTAAAATATTCTCCGTATTTTTAAAGGTTTTTAATTTGTTTTTAGTAACAACCCTCTCGTTAACAAAGATCCCCTAAGATATGTACAGTAAATTATAAAAAAAATAGAGTAAATATTAAAAAAATTGAACTAATTGCATATATTGATATCTTTTTAACTAAGAAAAATGTACAATTAGAGTAAACCAGTTGTTTTTTATAAATCATATAAATACGTCATATCGTAAATCTAAAACAAAAAAGTAATGGATTTATGATATCATATCTACAAAATAATAATAATAATAAAAAAAACAAGAAAACAGCGCATAAAAACTAAAAATCGATTTACCTTTTTATAGTAACCAATTTTGATATTGCAATTAATATAAACATTAATTGAAATTGTAACTATAAAATCTGTTTCGAAGTACAACAGGAATATCAATACTAAAAATAAAAATAAAAAAAATCAAAGTAAGATAAAAATAGCATTTTTAGCGAAATGTTGTTTTGGCATTTTGGAAATAAATAAAATCAGTAAGTTCCAATAATAAAACTAACAATTATTTATTTGTAACAATAGACACCAAGGAGATGTTAAACCACGCTATCTATCAACACAAAACATCACAAAAACATTAAGTTGTTAATATCTTTACGCTGAGTTAAATGTAATTTAGATTAGACTCAAATATCATCTTTTTTAAGTGTCTTTTATTAATTGGGTTTTATTATTGTCTACACCCATTTTTAGTTTGTTAGAAATTTTTTGTCTTTGAATACTAGATACAGAAATATGTTGAGTTTCGTTTTTATGTCCATAGTGTGAATAAAAAACTGAGGGGAACTTTAAATAACTTCTAGAGTTGTGCAATTTTTCAAGTGTCTATTATAACAAATACATAACTTTTATAATAAAAATTACATAATTGTTTATAGTTCTTATTTTTAATTAATATATCATTTGATATTACTTCAAAAAAAATTTTAATTTAAAAAATTATACATGTTCAAGTCAAATGCGCATTTAACTTGCGGTCAAAGGCGCATTTTCTAACAGCTGTTAGGGTAGGGTTAGCCTGTTTCATCATAATTTCAATAGGATTTAATATGCTGATATAAGTTTTATACTTTGCAAATTATATAACTTATATTCAGCATATTAAATCCTATAATTAAAACCTAAGCTTTGTTGAGAAATAAACTAAAAGTTCATTTTCAGCATATCCAGACTTAATATATATATATATATATATATATATATATATATATATATATATATATATATATATATATATATATATATATATATATATATATATATATATATATATATATATATATATACCCAGCAAACATTGAGCAGTCGGACCGACAACGGACCGCTGTCAGCACTTATGTCGTGCCGACGTCGGCCGCCCGCTGCGTTGCCGCGTAGGCTTGCACATCGTATTTACATCGGTCCGTTAGCAGCAATCTGCAGGCGGCTCGATAGCGGTCCGATGGCGGCAAATCGCAAACTTTTTAACAACGGTCCGTCAGCGGCAAACCGATGAAAAAACGATAGCGGAATAACATAGGACTTTTTATATGTTTTGATCAAGATTGGAATGCATTAATATGCATATCAATATTTTTTTTTATTTGAACAAAACGCACTTAAAGGAAATTTTTAAATATTTTTAGCTCAATTTTTACGCTAAAAAGAATGGCAAACCCTGCTTAAGCCTGGAAAGCACATCAAATACCTTTTAACTTTGTGCTTAGGTATATAGCCATTAAATACTTAATAAATCAACACAAATTTAGTAAATAGAACTCATAACATAAAGAAACACTACCATAACTGTAAATCATTAGGTCATACGTTGCAACGCTTAAGCTCGGTGAACAAATATATGAACAAAAAGAACAATCTGAAGTAATAATAAAATCCTTTTAAGATTGCAATTTACAATTATAACATAAATATTAAAGTCACAATAATTTTTTTATTATATCTAAAACATAATATAAAAGATAATAACATCTATCGACTTTGCTTAACTTGCGTTTGGAGATCCTCCTTTGGAGTATTTCTAGTTTAAAAAGTTAATTGTAAACACTTTATATATAAGTTCAGTTTATTCTCATTTCAATCGGAAACTAAATATATTCGAGAAGCCATAACGCGTTGAAATCGATTTTCGTTGCAGTCTGCAGACTTCTAATTTTTACCTAAAAGCAGACAACAATATACAATCAAAATATTGAAACATTTCAGTTTAGAGCTATTATAACGAAACAAACTAACCTTCTCAGCCCTTAAAGACGTTACGTTTAAAAGTTTCATCGCCAGCTATTGACAAGTAACTCCACATACTAAGTGTATCTGCATTGAATAAATGTAAAATTCATTTTAATATTAAAACATAATTTAACAGATAAAAACAGCAAAAACATTGTTTAATTTGAAAAGTTATGTAACTACTTTTAAAAAGCTATATAAAAATAAAGTCATATTATGTGCTTTTCTTGAAAAAATTAAAACTTAATAGACAGTACGCTTAAATACAACTTCTGACTAATGCTCTACTTACCAATATAGTCGAGGGGTTTATATAAGTATCTTTTTTCATGTAACAAAAAGTCGACATTTGAATTAGAAAAAATCTAAACATGAAAAAGACAAGAGTAAGTCACAATCATGATATTAAATTGCAGGAATGTTTTCAGATGCCTAGTTTTTATGATAATTATATTAAAGCAGACACTGATTTATAATTAAAATATAAAAACTATCCATTTAAGATGAGCATAATAAACTAACCTTTTCAAACTTTAAAGGCATCATTTGAAGCAAATATGTCTCATTGCCAGTTATTAGAAAGTAACTCCATCGACTATGTGTATCTACATTGAATTACTACCAGTTTTTTCTAGGACATCTACCATGTCTAAATAAAATTATAGTTTTATTATTGAACATAGTTTTCACTGTACAAACAAAAGTGTAGCTCAATATAAAAAACTATGAAAATAACTTGAGAAAAATGAAAGCTATAAAATTAGAATAACTACTATACCGGCGCCATAATTTTCAAATGATTGAGGGTTTTAAACAAGTACAAACTTGTGACCATATTAAGAACACAAAAATTTATTCAAAATCTTCAATCCAGTTTGGAAGTTAAACAACTCTGCTAAACCCATGATAATATTAGGATCATGGCCGACATAACCCTTGGACAACATGGAGACAAAAGCAACTAAACCTGTAAATAAATATTAGTAAATCAGTAAATCAAAGTGTGACATTAAGTCAAAATAATTTTCAAGACAATCTAAAAAAAAGTCTTAAAAATTAAAAATATTAAATTTAATAAAAATTAAAATAAGCAACCTTAAAGCTTAATTTTGCTAATTCTTTTCACTAAAACAGATTTTCATTAATTATTATTATTTAACCCTACCTTATATAATATGCGCTTTACATTGTATAATATATATTATATAATGTAAAGCGCAATAATTAATAATAATGATATGTAGTAGATACAGATATTTCCCATTATATATATATATATATATATATATATATATATATATATATATATATATATATATATATATATATATATATATATAGTGGTATATATATATATACATATATATATATATATATATATATATATATATATATATATATATATATATATAAATATATATATATATATACGTATACATATATATACATACATATATATATATATATATATATATATATATATATATATATATATATATATATATATATACATACTTTCATAACTCATCATGACATATGAAAGTATATAATCATCAATATAAGTCAATATACATCTATATAAAGTCTATAACTTATTTTTTAAATCAAATATATGTATTTCAAGTTGTATTAATATTACAACATATCAATATTTGTATATGAATTTACGTATCATATATTATATAATATTAAGTATATAATATATATAAGTCAATAACTCAATATATCAAATTATTATATAATATAATATTATATATGATACGTAAATTCATATACAACATATCGTACGTCATATGATATATCATATGACATGATGTTATATATGAATTTATGTATCATATACAAGTTGTTGTATAATAATAATATAAAACAACTTTATTTGATACGTAAATTCATATATAACATATGATACCATTCATACATAGCCTATAATATGGTACCTAATTTCATATATAACTTAAAAATTACATATAGTAATTAGTTTTGTAAATAACTTGAAATATATATTTGAAATAAAATATGAATTATAGACTTTATATAGTATATACTATACAAAGTCTATAGTTCACATTTAATTTCAAGTTATACATGAAATTGAATATAAAATAACAGAGAGTTTTATATGACTCATATACTCTTATTATGAGTCTTCGTAATATATTATATTATAAATACTCATATCTAGATATACGAGTGTTTATAATATAATATATTACGAAGACTCATATAATACTCATATATATAATATAAATACTCGTATATCTAGATATACGAGTATTTATAATATAGTATATTACAAAGATTCATAATATGTAACATAACATAACATAATAAAGATATCTTTATATTATATAAAGACGTATAAACTATATGAGTATATATATTCCACAACTTTTCATTTAATGTTTAATAACTTTCCATTTCATGTTATTCTATAACTTTATATTATTTTGTAACTTTCACTATCTATTTGATATGAAATATACAAAGTCTATATGTTTTTACTCGAGTCTATATATATTTAATAAACTTAAGTAAAAAATATATATACTTTTTGTATTTCATTTCAAATAGATATGAAAGTTATAGCTTTACTGTATATTCCAAGACTAAGACTCTTAGTCTTGGAATATACAGTAAAGCTATAAGTTTATAAGTAAACAGTTAGGTAAACTTAAACAGTAAAGCTCATGTTATAATTTTAGGCATGTAAATTATTTGCTAAATAAACTTTATTTACATGCCTAAAATTATTATTTAATAAAGTTTCTTTTCATTTTAGAGTTAACTCTTACTAAGCTTAGTAAGAGTTAACTCTAAAATGAAGAGTTACCTCTTACTAAGCTTAGTAAGAGTTAACTTGAAAATGAAGAGAAACTTTATTAAATAAAAATTTAGGCAAGTAAATAAAGTTTATTTACATGCCTAAATTTTGGGCATGTAAATAAACTTTATTTACTTGCCTAAAATTATTATTTAATAAAATTTCTCTTCATTTTAAAGTTATTTAATAAAGTAACATTTAATTTAATAAAGTAACATTTTTAAAGTTACTTAATAAAGTAACATTATTAAAAAATAATTTTAGGCTAAAATTATTTTTTAATAATGTTACTCTCTTAATTTTAGAGTTACCTCTTAGTATTTAATAAACACTAATAAAATAAAACCATAAATCACTATATATCGATATCGACCAATCAAAGTCTCATGGCGCTTGAAACGCTTGCTTTTGATGTTTTTTACGACAGCTTACCGCCATCCGAAAGCCAACTTTGGCATTGTGTGGGCAAAACTACAGCGTATCGTGATGAACTTACCGAAGCTGGCATGCCCATTTAAAATTGCATTGGCGACGAAGTGTTTTATCGCTCTTCGGCCGATGGCGGAAAGCCAACACAAAATAGGATACCGGTCCTGCATCAGCTACCCGGCAGCGGCAAGCCGCATTAGGCATAACAAAGGTTCAGCACTGGCTTACCGGCGGCGGCTTTGCGCATCACGGTCCGCTGAAAGCATGTTTGCTGGGTATATATATATATATATATATATATATATATGTATGTATGTATATATATATATATATATATATACATATATAAATATATATATATATATATATATATATATATATATATATATATATATATATATATATATATATATATATATATAATAATAATAATAATAATAATAATAATAATAATAGGTCGACAATTTGTAAAACCTATTTACACTGAAAGTTTTTGTTTATATGGGTGACTGAAAATTATTTTTAAGGCCGATTTTTACCGAATTTTTTTTTTTTACTTTTAAGATATATAATATTTTTGTTGATAACAAGAAAAAATTAATACACGAGGGGGTCTTAATAAGCTTAGGGTGGGTGGGAAAGATATCCAAAAATTAATAAAGGGGGGGGGGGCGTTTATTAGGAACTCGAGTGGTCGTTACATTAGGACCAGCTGTAATTTTTGGTAAATTCGTGTTAAAATGAATTTTTAAGGAAAAGGTAAAATAATGGTGCAATTTAAAGCTTGTTTTTGTATTTATAAAATTATACTTGATAAAAAGTAAATATATAAAATTAAACATCTTTAATATTTATTAGCTATAACAATAAGTTATATAAAATGTATATAAAGTAATAATATTTTGTAAAACAACCTTTATTTGCAATAACTGCTTCAATGCGTTGTGGCATGCTTGCAATTGATTTTTTTTATAGTTTCTGTCAACTCTGTGTTATTGTGCCAGATAATGGTGCAATTTAAAGCTTGTTTTTAAAATAATGGTGCAATTTAAAGCTTTATTTTTTGCCAATCTATCTCTTTACTACTTTGCAAATGTTCTCTATGGGGTTAAGATCAGAAAAGTTGCCTGACCATGACAGTACATCAGTTATTTTCTGTTCTAATTAAGTCAAAACACTTTTTGCTCTGGTTTTTGACTTTTTTTTTATTTTTATTTTTTTTTTTTTTACATTTTAAGATCAATCTGCAATTTGGGGAAGCAACTGATTCTCCAGAACCTCTTTATACTGGTGTTGCCTCATTGTCCCTTCTCCTTGCCCACAATAGACAGACCAGATCATTACTGAAGCTGATGCTTTACTGTTTTTATAATGCAGTCGGAATGAAACATTTTTTTTGTTCTACGACGAATAAAAGCTGTTTTGCCCATCATTACTCAAAAGGTTTACTCATCTGATAAGCAAATCTAAAATGTTGTTCATTTTAAGCAATAATGTTTATATTATGTTAAAATAATTTAATAATATGAATGCGAATAATAATAATTTTTCCCAATCCTCAACAGACCGGTAATAATAGTTTTGACCCCACTCCATCCTTTTTTTTTGTTAGTAAAGATAGTTTTAATTTCTTGGCTTTACGATGACAAATCAATCCCTCTCCATTCTGCGAATGGCCCAATCTAACAATACCAGCCTCAAGTTTAGCCAATACGTTTTGTGGCTATATTCTGCTTTCCATAAAGATATTTTCGGTTATACGATCCGCCCTTGGTGTTATCTTGTGTTTAGAAGGTGGTCTCCTTGGACCAAACTTTTCCCCTGCATAAATTTTTTTTCTCACTTGCATAACGATTTCAGTGAAAAACCTTTTTAATTGTACAATTTTTCGCTGAGAACATTTTGCATTTTGTAAAAGATATCTTATTTAACTAATTTTTGTTGGTGTCGTATCACATTAAAATCTTAAACTACTAGACGTTAACTTTTTGAGATTTTTTATTAAGTAGTCTGTTTTCTATGCATAAAAACGTCAGGGCATTTAAACGTTTTTTTCCTGTGGTTGATCTTAAATCGCTTTTAATAAGCTTAAGTTGAGAGAATGTACTTTCTCCGATGCAATTGCTTACCATTAAACAAAGATACATGCTTAGTGCAATTCAAACATTTAGGAAAGCAGTTACGAGCCTATGCTTACCAATAAATATGAACATTTGAAGTTTTCTACTATTTTTCTTTATACTAATTACGCTTCTTTGTTAAACTGTTTGAACATTCCAATAAACTAAACAATTTCATCGAATAACTGAGGCTCAAAGTCTTTATGGTATATTTTAGCTAAATGCACGGCCTTCACTCACATATCATAAGGTTTTAAAGTATTAACTACGGCAAAATACCAAATCTAACAACAATAACATACGGAGTACAGAAATTTTCTGATTCAAAGCTGGTAGCAGCTTGTCAATAATTGGAAGATATTTGTGTATTTTAAACTTTTCCGAAGACGTCAGCACTATCTACTTCTGCATAACGATAGTCTCATCTTCTGTTTCGATACAGAATTTTAAGTTTCTGTTCTATTTCACTGAATTGAGAACAAACCTCTTAAACAAATATTTTTAAGGATTTCAACATCTTTGTAGCCGTTTTCAAAAGACTTTTGAATCTTAAAGACATATCTCTCTAAAAGCATTGACCATACCTGGACCTTTAGTCTAGTCTCTAACTTATTCATACTTGCATTAAGTTTTTTTGTTCCAATCACGTTTCAGATTTTTCAGTTGATGATTAATAAACGAAAAAGATTTTTCGGAGTACTTAGGATCAGTTGCAGTAAAAAGAGGAGTAAAAATTAAAAAATTTGCTAAATAAATGACGAGTAACACGACAATGAATTTTAGCAATATTAAAATAAAAAATGAAGTTAAGTAAGGTGTCGTCCATAAATTACGTCACGTCCAAAGTGATAAGTGGGTTCGTGATTTTGTGATGACTTATACAAAACTCGCTACAAAAGTGTGACGATTTTGTGACGAGGGGGCAAAGGAGGTCAAAAACGGTCAAATTTGCGTGACATAATTTACGGACGAACCTTAAGAAAACCTAAGAAAAAAAATTGTAAACTAATTTATTTATTACTACAGTAAATACCACTAAATCTACCTTGTTGAATTGGAACTATAATGTTTCTTTTTCACCTTAAGGTAAAGTTTTGTTTGTTTCCTTGATTTACAGAAATATCTTGCGGAAATTATTTTGTTCGCCATTCCCAGTTAACCAGCCCAACTGGGATTGAGCTTGGATCACTGGTATTGGGTTTGGCCTGGGATTTGTTCTGGGTGCCAGATGGGTCCCATATAGTAAGAAAATAATGTCGCAAAATCTGGATTTTTACTGGGATTGCCCTGGTGCATCCGTAAAGGTTTTAACGCTGGTTTGAAGTTGGGATGCGTGGTTTAATGGTAGCGTGTACTTTCTAATCAAAGCAGATTTTTTGGCATTGTTTTTATTGAAAAATACACATTTTTGTTGATATGAAATTACAAAACTCTTTTAAAATATCATATGCATTAACGCGGCTTTATTTAGATCGAATATAGACTTGCATTTGGAGTAAATATACACAGAAACTTCATTTTGTTTTTTTATCGTATTTTTGCAAAAAAGTTTACATATCAGTTTTAATTCTATACTAAAAGTGTAAATATGTTACAATCAATATTTACTCATCTATTTAAAAAACTATTTCACACACACACACTAAAAAGAAAAGATGACATGCTTTTAAATGCTTTTAAATTTCTTAAATATCCTGGATTTAAGAAATTTGATAAATGAAATTTTAGACTGAAATTCAGACTGAATTTCTGAGCTTTTAACAAGTTTGAGATATGTTAACGTTTGTTTTTTTTAAACTTGTAAACGGTTTTATTAAACTGAAAGCATTTTCTGTAATTATGCAATAAAGAAATGTTGAATATTTTTTTAAACAAGTTATATCCTTTAGAACGCTTACAGTAATGGCTTAGTATGTTTAGTTTTATTTCATTTTTCTAAACAAATCTCAAAGACTTTTTGAAAATCCTTTGAATTTGCTATGTTTTGTAAAGTGGCTTTGACAAATTTTTTTTTCAAAACATAGCAAATTTTTCCGTATGTAAACTTTACATATTTATTTTTACATAAATTACTTAATAAATTATTTATGTATTTATAAATAATACGTAAGTTTTACATACTTATGAAAAAAATTAAAATTATACATTTATCAAAGGTAAGATTTTATATTTTATAAGTAGTATAATTAATATATTTCTTATAGTTTAAGTAATATTTTATCAAATATATAACTTATAGAAAATCTTAAATCTTACATTTATATTATGTATTTATAAATGATATCTAAAGTTTATATATAGAAGTGTCACATAGTAAAACCTTACTAATAGTAATACTATCACTTTACGAAATATAGTAATACTGTGTTTTCTTATATAAAGTTTATTTTATTTTATTTTTCTTATATAAAAAAATAAATTATATTGCGAATTATTTGTAAATAATAGTAATTAATAATGACAATGATTGAATCATTTTTAACTAATTAACCACGACAACTGGGTCCCAGCTGAAATGTAACTGGATTACTGGAACTGAGTTATGGCTGAGATTTGACCTGCCTAATTAATCACGGCAACTGGGTCCTAGCTCTGATGTAACTGGATTACTGGAACTTAGTTATGGCTTGGATTTGAACTGGGTGAAAGATGGGTCTCATATGGTGCAACGTATTATTTGAAATGTATTATTTGAAACTGCTATTTTTAAAAGACCTTTATTGTTTACTTGGATAAGTGCTTTTAAATTAGGATGGCATTTTCCTTAAGCAACTGATTCAAATATTTTCATTGCATGATCTGTTCTTCGATCCGCTAGTGCTTTAAGATCTTGTTCTTTAATAAATGGTGCAGCATGGGAATTTCGTGGTGCATGGGAAATGATTCTCGCGGCTT